GGGCTGCTTGCTGGTTTCGTTCCACTGGGGCCCACAACTTGCAGGTCCAAACCTTGTTCCCCAGGCAGGGACTAAAAATTTCACCCCATCCCAGAAGCGTTGAAGGTGGCGGTCCTCAGGGCCTCACCCTATGGTTCTGGTAGGCAGTGACGGCAGTGAAGCGCGTCTCCTCGAACACGAAGGTTTTGAAGTTCTCCTCGGCATATTTCTCACTATCTTTGCGCGGGTCCACGTAGACCACATGGAAGCGGGGCTGGTATCTGTGCATGGAGTTGAGAATAATCTGGAAGACAAGGTGGCGAGGCAGGAGCTAGGAAATTAGCCGAGGTCTGGATGGGCAGCGAACGTCCCAGAGAACTTGGCCAAAACCCTTATCTCCCAAAATGAGGCCTGGCCACAGGGCCCAACCTGGCGCTATGACCGACTGGGGACCACCGAGAGAAACGCTCCTCCAAGTGGCAAAAGATCGAGGCGTAGATTCTCTTTCCTTACGTCCTCAAGAACTACTGCGACCCACATCACCGGCCTGGATTCCTAAAAGCCTCTTGCACCTACTTCCACACACCGCCCCATCCTTTCCGGTTAAAAATCTCCAGCAAAAGATCAGGAACCCTCTCCCAGGCGCCTGAGGTCCACCAGGCCCTGTGAGCCTCTGGCTGGAGGGGCGGCACTGCAGCCCATCCCTAATCCAAACCCCAAGATCCAAGCTCTGCCTCTGGCTCTGGTCAGCAGGGACTCCGGAGGGCCTGCAGGGGTGTGGGGGAACAGGGTGGTAGCCTGGGGAAGGAGGTCGCTCACGTGGCCGTTGTCATCCAGCAGGTTGTTGGTCAGTTTGAGCTTGTCAAAGGACACAATCTGCTTCATCCACTGTGCACCCTTGGCAGGCGAGTCAGGGTGGTAGTGTACTCGGCCTGGAGTGGCAGGGTCTGCCTTCCCGGCCACCAGCCAGGAGGAGCTGTGGAACGCGTACCTGGGACGGCACCGGAGCATGGGTTACATCATGTGGGGGCGAACCGAGAGGGCTTTGCCGAGTGAATCCCGAAAGTGCCTCTGATGAGTTTCCCCATCGGTGAAATCGAGGCTTCAGCTGCCACACGGGCTGGGAACTTTTCCGAGGGGGATTGTAGAGAAAACGGAAAACTCCCTCTTGTCCCCAATACACAAGACAGCAGGAATCCGAGCACGGAGGAGGGAGGCGGGAGGCTGAGCTCCCAGTGCCACATTTCGCTGCACCCGGGTCTGCCTCTCCCGGCTTCCCTACTCGCCTCTAGTGTCACCCGCTCAGTGGGAGCTCGGATTTGGTCACGCAGGCTGCCTGGGGCACAGGGCAAATCACGTTCTCTTTATTAATTGCTGTTAATTGTCCGGGCAGCTAAGGCCCGCCCTGCATAATCTCTCCAACCTTTCCTGCCCTGCTCTGGAACCCGGCATTCCCTGGGGATGGAGGAAGGGGACAAGGTGCCCACGTTCAACTCTTGGGAGGAGACAGGAAGAAAAGAAGAGCTGTGCGCGCTGGGGCTACCCCCTTCCCTTCTCTTCCGTGGGAGCTGCCTTGGGCCTAAAGCTGGTGGGGAGGTAATCAGCCTGTAAGACCTCCTAAGGGGAGCTCTGGAAAGCCTCTGTGGGTGGGGTTTTTTTTAGTTTGGGGTCCAACATGGTGGGGAGGGAACAGGACATGAAAGCTGGTGGGGAAGCTGGCACAGGTGCCTGGGACCACCCAGTTACCAATGTCGTAGGTGCACCCAAGGCATCACCGGGCAGGGACTCATGGCTTCCCAGGGCACCCTCTCAGGTCCTGCTGGGTGCTCACCGGTAGCGCTTGTCGTCCACGGGCACAAAGTCCATGAGGAGCATGTAGTCAGCCATGGGGTCCATGCCAAAGAGCTTCACTTGGAAGGTGGGGAACATGCGCCTGGGGACAGGACAGCAAGGAAGCAGGTCACCTTAGATGGAGAAGGGCAGGGTCGATCCACCTTAACCAGCCAGGGGAAGGACAGCCTCCCTGCGACTGCTGCGTTTGTTTTGGCGGCCTGGTCCCTCCATCTCATCTCCCCTCACTTAGCTGCTCTAACCCGACCAGGCCCCTGCCCAGCCAGGACAAGAAGAGCAGCAGGGCGGCTCCCAGCCCCTCTTTTTTAAACACAAAAATGGCTAACTTTGCACTGGAACTGAACCTTCACGCCCCAACCTCAGCCAATCGCTTCTGTCACCCTTGTCTGTGTAGACCCAGCCTAGCAATTGCCGAGCTAGCCTCAGCTGGCAACACCCCAGCAGCAGGATCCTGTCCCAGCCCTCAACAGAGCCACCCCTGCTCGATCTAAGCTCCCGGCTCAAACAAAGTGAAACCGGGGTATTCCGTGTGATTCCGAGGAGTCCTGGTTGCCCTTTCCGCTGGGTCTAAGGCCATTCCCCAATCCTTCAGCGAAGCCAAGGCCTTGGAGCCCACAGCCCCGACTGTGACCCAGCTCTCAGGCCCTGCCTCCTGCCCAGTGCTGGAGTCTCCCTACCTTCCTTGGGAACACATGCAAGTCCCCACTCCCCCGACTCCCACCATAACCCCAAGACACAGCTACTCAGGGTGGACTTGGCTTGTGCCCTTATGGTCCCTAACTCTCACTCCCCTGGACTCCAATTTGATGACCAGATCAGGCTCTTGAAAGGCCATTATGCCACTCCAGGATGGGCCACTGGCTGCAGGACAGCCCTGTCCCAATGGGCAACAGTGCCAGCCACTGCACCCTGGAGCACAGCACTAGGCC